AGACCCAAGACGGCATTGGAAGGCCCGACGGCCACAGGGCAGCCCCCGTACAGTCGAGAGGGTACAAAAAGATCCAGACGGCCCAAGAGGGCGCCACGACGGCCGAAGGAGGCCCCACGACAGACAAAAATTACGCTACCGAGGAACCCCACATACTTAATCTTATGTGTTTGCTTTGGTGTATATATATATATATGCGCAATCCTGCGTTCTGAGCCCTCGCTGAGAGACCACCCCCTGCCCACCCCTTTGGTGTCGAGAAAGTGCCACGCCTGCTAGGCTTTGCGCCAGTGTCGTGGATAGCGGCCGAGCTGAGAGACCACCCCCTGCGCACCCCCTGTGGTGTCGAGAAAGTGCCACGCCTGCTAGGCTTTGCGCCAGTGTCGTGGATAGCGGCCGAGCTGAGAGACCACCCCCTGCGCACCCCCTGTGGTGTCGAGAAAGTGCCACGCCTGCTAGGCTTTGCGCCAGTGTCGTGGATAGCGGCCGAGCTGAGAGACCACCCCCTGCGCACCCCCTGTGGTGTCGAGAAAGTGCCACGCCTACTAGGCTTTGCGACAGTGTCGTGGATAGCGACCGAGCTGAGAGACCACCCCCTGCGCACCCCCTGTGGTGTCGAGAAAGTGCCACGCCTGCTAGGCTTTGCGCCAGTGTCGTGGATAGCGGCCGAGCTGAGAGACCACCCCCTGCGCACCCCCTGTGGTGTCGAGAAAGTGCCACGCCTGCTAGGCTTTGCGCCAGTGTCGTGGATAGCGGCCGAGCTGAGAGACCACCCCCTGCGCCACCCCCTGTGGTGTCGAGAAAGTGCCACGCCTGCTAGGCTTTGCGCCAGTGTCGTGGATAGCGGCCGAGCTGAGAGACCACCCCCTGCGCACCCCCTGTGGTGTCGAGAAAGTGCCACGCCTGCTAGGCTTTGCGCCAGTGTCGTGGATAGCGGCCGAGCTGAGAGACCACCCCCTGCGCACCCCCTGTGGTGTCGAGAAAGTGCCACGCCTGCTAGGCTTTGCGCCAGTGTCGTGGATAGCGGCCGAGCTGAGAGACCACCCCCTGCGCACCCCCTGTGGTGTCGAGAAAGTGCCACGCCTGCTAGGCTTTGCGCCAGTGTCGTGGATAGCGGCCGAGCTGAGAGACCACCCCCTGCGCACCCCACGAGAAAGTGCCACGCCTGCTAGGCTTTGCGCCAGTGTCGTGGATAGCGGCCGAGCTGAGAGACCACCCCCTGCGCACCCCCTGTGGTGTCGAGAAAGTGCCACGCCTGCTAGGCTTTGCGCCAGTGTCGTGGATAGCGGCCGAGCTGAGAGACCACCCCCTGCGCACCCCCTGTGGTGTCGAGAAAGTGCCACGCCTGCTAGGCTTTGCGCCAGTGTCGTGGATAGCGGCCGAGCTGAGAGACCACCCCCTGCGCACCCCCTGTGGTGTCGAGAAAGTGCCACGCCTGCTAGGCTTTGCGCCAGTGTCGTGGATAGCGGCCGAGCTGAGAGACCACCCCCTCCGCACCCCCTGTGGTGTCGAGAAAGTGCCACGCCTGCTAGGCTTTGCGCCAGTGTCGTGGATAGCGGCCGAGCTGAGAGACCACCCCCTGCGCACCCCCTGTGGTGTCGAGAAAGTGCCACGCCTGCTAGGCTTTGCGCCAGTGTCGTGGATAGCGGCCGAGCTGAGAGACCACCCCCTGCCCACCCCCTTGGTGTCGAGAAAGTGCCACGCCTGCTAGGCTTTGCGCCAGTGTCGTGGATAGCGGCCGAGCTGAGAGACCACCCCCTGCGCACCCCCTGTGGTGTCGAGAAAGTGCCACGCCTGCTAGGCTTTGCGCCAGTGTCGTGGATAGGGACCGCGGTGAGAGACCACCCCCTGCGCACCCCCTGTGGTGTCGAGAAAGTGCCACGCCTGCTAGGCTTTGCGCCAGTGTCGTGGATAGCGGCCGAGCTGAGAGACCACCCCCTGCCCACCCCCTTTGGTGTCGAGACAGCGCCATGCCTGCTAGGCTTTGCGCCAGTGTCGTGGATAGCGGCCGAGCTGAGAGACCAACCCCTGCGCACCCCCTGTGGTGTCGAGAAAGTGCCACGAGCTGTGCTGTGCTGTGCTGAGCTGAGCCGTGCTGGGCTGTGCTGAGCAGTGCTGTGACGTAGGGAGGAGGGGAGGTGTGAGGTGAGGTGAGACGCGGGCGCGGCGCGGCAGGGAAGAAAACCATAACCCCACGAAACATGTGGGGAAAAAACGGCACTGCCCCACTCGAACCCAAGACAGCCCCACTCGAACCCAAGACGATCTCATGAGAAGTCCTCCAGACATGAAGACGAAAGGTGTTACGTGTGAAGGCACTCCTCCTCCTCATCCTCCTTTTTGTTACTCCGCGTCATCATCATCCACATCATCACCACCACCATGATCAGCATCATCAGCAGCAGCAGCAGTCGTCCACATCATCACCACAACCATCATCCTCAGCATCATCAGCATCATCCTCATAACTATTCATCCTCCTCATCATCATCCTCATCCTCAGCATCGTCCACATCCTCAACACCCTCATCCACATCATCAGCAGCATAATCATCAGCATCATCAGCATGATCAGCATCATCATCAGCATCAGCATCATCATCGTCAACATCGTCATCCTCATCAGCATCACCAGCATCATCCTCATCATCACCACCACCACCACCATCACCATCATCATCATCATCAGCATCATCATCATCATCATCGTCCTCCTCCTCCTCATCATCATCATCCTCGTCATCCCAGCTCTCCCAAGCTCGGAAACACGAGGTGTCGCATGTGACGGTACGGGCCTCCCTTGCCCTGTTTACCAGTCGCCGACCAACATGCTTGGCTGGCAGTATGGCGGGACAGCTGGATCTACTATATACAGATATACAAGTACAGATGTAGAGAGATATTTTCGTGTATAGAAGAGAGAGAGAGAGAGAGAGAGAAAAAAAAAAAATAAAAATAAACAAAACTACTCCGACGGAAGAACCCCACATCAGAATCCTCTGGGCGAATCTGGAAAAAGCCATCACCGTCGTCCTCGTGGTTGGTGAGGCGTCCTGGCTGTCTCTTCTGCGTATATTTCTTCTCGCCTTGGCGCGGGCCCCCCCTCCACTCCTTACGTTGTCCCCATCCTCGCCCCCCCGTTTGTTCCGCGCCCCGCCACCTCCTCCCCTTCCTGTTGCATGAGCGCGCATGTCGATGTTCCTCGGCGCCGTCGCCGCCACGGCCAGCACAGGCGCGTTCTCTACTGGTCACGTCGCGCAGCCGTTGGGACAACCCCGCGGGCCAGGCTGTCGGGACAACCCCGCGAGCCGCTGGCGCGCAAGACCAAGCCGTTGGGACAACCCCGCGGGCTTCGAGCGAGGCGCAGCCGCGCTCAGGCGGAAGGCAGCACGAAGCCCAGCTCTGCCGCGAGCTGCTTCGCCTCCACCCTGGACAAAACCGCTCTCTTGTCGAACTCCAGGAGCGCCTTCCGCAGGGACGCCGGCGGCCCGCACTCCAGGAACTCTCGCGGCGGCGGCCGCAGGATCAGCATGTTCCGCATGCACGTGGCGCGGGAGAACATGACGTAGAGGTGCAGCCACCACTGCTCGTCCGACATGCCCGTGCGGCCAGCGTCCTCGTCTCTCGCGCAGTCGATGGTGACGCCCTTGCGCAGCGTCTGGCCCTGCGACAGCGTGGAGGTCAGGTAGGACGCGTGCGTCAGGGTGAACCCCGAGCGGCGCACGCTGTGCGCCCCCGAGCTCTGCCATGTGAACTCCCTTTCGCTGGGCCTGAACATCAGCAAGCTCCGCGCCCGCGCCTCGGCCTGGCCGTCGTCGTCGGCGCCTTCGGCGCCCTGTCGCAGCACCTCGGCGACCTCCTGGTAGATCGGAGACTCCTTGAAGCCGTGCACCTGCAGCCAGATTCCTGACCCGCTCGGATTACCAACATGATTTGCGGGCCCCACAGGGAGGGGGCTCCCGCCTGAGACTTCCTCACAATTCACTCAGAGACGAGGCTCCCGCCTGAGACTTCCTCCAAATTCAGGCTTGACGAGCCCAAAAGTGACGACAGTTACAGGTTTCCGATGACCCGCTCGGATTACCAACATGATCTGCGGGCCCCATAGGGAGGGGGCTCCCGCCTGAGCCTTCCTCAGAATTCACTCACAGACGAGGCTCCCGCCTGAGACTTCCTCCAAATTCAAGCTTGAGGAGCCCAAAAGTGACGACAGTTACAGGTTTCCGATGACCCGCTCGGATTACCAACATGATCTGCGGGCCCCATAGGGAGGGAGCTCCCGCCTGAGACTTCCTCCCAATTCACTCACAGACGAGGCTCCCGCCTGAGACTTCCTCCATTTTCAGGCTTGACGAGCCCAAAAGTGACGACAGTTACAGGTTTCCGATGACCCGCTCGGATTACCAACATGATCTGCGGGCCCCATAGGGAGGGGGCTCCCGCCTGAGACTTCCTCACAATTCACTCATAGACGAGGCTCCCGCCTGAGACTTCCTCCATTTTCAGGCTTGAGGAGCCCAAAAGTGACGACAGTTACAGGTTCCGATGACCCGCTCGGATTACCAACATGATCTGCGGGCCCCATAGGGAGGGGGCTCCCGCCTGAGACTTCCTCACAATTTACTCAACGATGATGAGGATGAGGATGATGAGTGGTGGTGAAGATGAGTGGTGAAGAGGATGATTGATTGTGAGTGGTGGTGGCGATGATGATGTTTGAATGAGGATGATGCCGATGCCGATGATGATGATGATGATGTTCGTGAGCGTGTGAGAGAGTGCGAGTGATGATGATGATGAGTATGTGAGTGACTAAGCATGTGAGAGAGCATCATCGATGATGCTGATGAGATTGATGATGAGAGAGTGCGAGTGAGTGTGAGTGGGTGTGTGTGTGTGTGTTCCTGTTCCTGCGCGGGGTGCCCAGAGAAAACAAGAACCCCACTTTGGATGTGGGGAACAACAAAAAAAAACACGCTCTTCCCTGCCTCGCCCTCCCACTCCGTTCCTCTCCGTCTGCACGCCCCCTCCTCCTCGCAAGACAGACCGGCAAGCGCGGCTCAGTGCGATACACAGCCAGGCTGCGCCGGCAGCACCCTCGCCGCGCGTGAGGGCGTCGGCACTGCCGATGCCCTGGCGAGCAGACAGTCCATCGCGTAGGCGTTGTGGGGATGCTCGCACAGACGGACAGACAGAACCCTCCTATCTAGCAAAACGCCATTTGATAAAAAAACTGCTTGGGCACTCCACGTGCGCACATTACCGCATTCCGAGTGGAACTGGGCGGAAGAGCAAATGAAGCAATACCGAAAATTACCGAATGCACTCTGCAAAAAATACGTCGATTAGCGACACCAAGGGAGGACTGCACCAGCACACTGCGAATGGCAACGTCGCAAGTGAACCATCGCAGAATTCCTCAATCGACTTGTCTGGGTGGTCGTTCTCGCGTTGCCCAGTCACAGGGAAGGTCTTCAAGACGCGAGTCCAGGGTTCGCTGCCTCCGCTTCATATAGGGCATCTACTTCTGATGGCGAGCATCCAACACACGTCAACTCGCCGCCTGGGGAATACGTGCGGATCCCCTCACCGACTTGTTCACATCCTCTGGCCGATCTACAGTGGAAGCAAACGGCCACTGCCCATCTCCTGCGTGCGCCCGTCGACTCCATACGGCCACTCCATCTCCGACGCCCATTGCATTCGTCCATGGCCATGCGCGCTGCATCTATCCCCCTCTCTCGCAAGCGCTGATTCCAGTGCTATAGCAGATCAGGTCTGGCTTCAGATCTGCCTCCCGCATATTCCCCAGTAGCGTCAACGCCCGTTGCCACTGCCATCCTTGCTCGCACGCTCTGATTGCAGCGCCGAAGCTCACGATGTTGGGCTCCACATGCGCTGTCCCCATCTCACTGAGCAACGACAACGCCTGCTGCCACTGAGCACACTGCCCGCAGGCAGTGATGCCGGCGCTGTAGCTGACAGCATCCAACATCAAGACCGCATCGTCCGCTTCCCTGAGCAACAACAATGCGCGCTCCCACTGCCCGCTTTTCTCACACGCGCTGACCCCTGCATTGTAACTGACCGAGGCGACCCTACGAGTTACCATCCACGTCCACGCACACACCCGAGAGCTGCCCTTGATTGCAAATGGCACTGCGAACTGGAGACCATAGACTCCCGTGAACATCGTCTTACCGATCCCCGTCCCCACCGTCGTAGCCTTGGCCCAAGAAGCCGACTTACCCCCCCACACCCCAGGTTGGGATGTGAGTTGTTCTGATGCTCCTCCCCTTCTGCTTTCGCGGGATCTGTTCCCACTTGGGGGGGGGGGTGCTGGTGGCCGAAGGGGCTAAGATATCATGACCCGATGGGGATGGGGATCGCTTACAGTGGAGGCCCGACCACAAGAAACCTTCCACAAGAAACACAACCCTGAGACCCCAGGATGTCCATTGATTTTTGTGTGGGAACGTCACGCTCGCCATCATAAAAACATCAAAACCTAGTAAGCCCAGGGCACCCTGGAGGCAAGCAGGGTGTTTCTTGGAACGGGCCTCCACTGTAAGATTTCATGACGCGGTGGGGACGGGGATCGCTCAGACGATGCTGACCGACGAGCGAAAGAATTAGATGGGATACTTAGAAGGGCAGGATGATTATATTGATGATGATGGTGATGATGATGATGACGATGATGATGATTATGAAGATGGTTGATGATGATGGTGATGATGATAATGATGGTGATGATTTAAGATGACGATGATGACGATGCTGACGATGATGATGGTGATGATGATGGTGGTGATGATGATGAGGATGATGATAAAGATGACGAAGATGACGATGATGACGATGATGATGATGGTGCTGATGGTGGTGATGATAAGGATGATGATGATGATGATGATGATGATGATGACGATGCTGACGATGATGATGATGATGATGATGATGGTGATGATGATGATGATGATGATGATGATGATGATGATGACGATGTTGATGATGATGATGATGATGATGACGATGACGACGACTATGATAATGATGATGAGCAGGAGGAGGAGCAGGAGGATAATGAGAGAATAAGAGGGACCGAGGAATGTTTAGACACCGCAGGAATCGATGATGATGGGAGAATTAGAGGGCCGACGAATCACCCTCACAAGAAGCACCCCGACGAGCGACGCCCTGTAGCAAGCGCACCCAAGGAAGGAAAATCGAACAGAACAGGACTATTTCGGCAACGTCCAGGGGGGCGTTTCGTCAAGGCCAACTATGGGCGTCGGAATATCTTCCACTTATGGACGCCTCCTGATCGCAGACTCCTCGAGTGCCTCGCCGAGGGATCGCGAGAGCGCGCTCGGGCTCCGGCGCAGCCGGCGTCGCGTCGGCGGATGACGGGGCCGGCAACGATGATGCTGGTGGCGGTGCTGAGGACTATTCAGGAGGGAAGAAAACACACACAGACACAACTAATCGTCGATGTCCCAGATAATATGGGAAGATATGGGAAGTGGGGGGTAGACATTAACCCAGAAAATATGCGAAAATATGGGGAATCCTGTTATTTGTGTCTATTTATTTGTGCGTCCCAGGGCCCCCTATCAACTATGGCGATGACGGTGATGATGGCGCACCCCTGGACTGCAGGTGAACGCATCGACGCAGGCAGAGATAGAGGCCTCCTAGATGGGGTCCGAGTAGCTGGGGTCGGGGGATCCCGCTGCATCGGCGATGCACAGGCGATGTCGAAAAGGCATCGGCGACGTGGGCGTGGAGAAGATCGGGCTCCACATCGAGCCGAATCGCCGATGCATTGCCGATGCGGCGCGATCCTCCGACCCCATCTACTCGGACCCCATCTAGGAGGCCTAGGTGAAATGGGATGGGGGATGCGGGGGAGGGAAGGAAGGCTTGCGCAGACCTGTGCTGAATGTGACTTGCCTCTATGGCCGGCCCCCGTGGCATCCAAACAAGGGGGGCCACAGGAGTCGCGACTCGGCTGGGCTGGCTCGGGGCTGGGCCCGCTCGGGAGCTCAGGGGCCACCGCACACGGCCCCAGGGGGAGGGGAAGGAGGGCATCCCCATCCGCGCAATCCCAACGGCACTCGGAGCTTACGTTCGACTCCACCCTCGCCTTCCTCATTTCGCCGAGCAACAGCAGTGCTCGCTCCCACTGGCCACCCTTCTCGCACGCGCTGATTCCAGCACTAAAGGTGACAACGTCCAGCTCCATCTTCCCTCGCCACATTTCACGGAGCAGCGACAGCGCTCGCTTCCACTGCTCACCCTTTTCACACGCGCTGATTCCAGCGTTGTAGCTGGCGGTATCCAGCTTCAAAGTGGCGGCTGACGCGTCGTGGATCAACCACAAAGCCTGCTGCCAGCGTCCAGCCTTCTCACACGCGGTAACTCCCGCACTGCAACAGATGGTGTCCAACTCCACTGTCGCTTTAGCCATTACGCCGAACAAAGACAAGGCCCGCTCCCACTGCCCACATTTGTGGCAGGCATTGATCACGGTACTGAAGCTGACGACGTTCGGCGGCAACGTCACCCTTGACATCTCCCTGAGCAGCGACAACGCCAGTTGCCACTGCCCTCCCTTCTCACACACGGTGAAACCAGAACTGAAGCTGATGACGCTAGGCTCCACCTTCGCTTCACTCATCTCACTCAGCATCAGCAGTCCTTGTTGCCACTGCCCGCCAGTCTCGAAAGCAGTAATTCCGACAGTGTAGCTGATGACGCTCAGCTCTATGTTCGCTTCCCGCATATCGCGCAGCAACCACAAAGCTCGCTGCCACTGCCCGCCTTTTATGCACGAACTGATTCCAGAGTTGTAGCTGATAACGCTCGGCTCCACCTCCACCTCCCTCATGTCACCCAGCAACGACACCGCATGCTGCCACCGTCCACCCTTCTCGCACGCGCTGACTCCAGCGCTGTAACTGAAGACGTTTGGCTCCACCGATACTTCTGCCATCTCCTCGATCAGCCACAGCGCCTCCTCTCGGTGGTGGACAGAACCCCTGGGGCAGAACGCCCTTCCGTGAAAGCGACTCGGGACCCGACCCGGCGGGCGCAGGCCAGCAGACATAGCGTCCGCGACACCCCGCCGATGGCCGAAAAGGGGCCGTTCGCTAATCGACTTGACAGGGCGGGGGCTTTATCCACCCGTGGCGCGCGAAGGGGGGAAGTGAGAAGGAGAAGGCCTTCTCAGACGGCGGCGGGACTTCTCCGAAGCCCTCGCGCTTTCTGGGGAGGTGCTTCTGCTGATGTGCTCGGGGAAGGCTTAGGAAGGCCAGGGGATTTCCGAACCTTCTGAGAAGGCCTCCTCCTTCTCATTTCCCCCCCTCGCTCGCCGCCGAATCAACCTCCAATCCTTCCAGCGCCCACCCTTCTCGCACGCGCTAATCCCAGCACTGTAGCTGACGACGTCTGGCTCCAGCACCGCCACCCCCAGCGCGCCGAGCAGCGACAACGCATGCTGCCACTGCTCACCCCTCCCGCAGGCGCTGATCTCGACATTGTAGAGCACAGTGTCGACTCGGTGGCGCGAGCCGAGCGCGTCTCGGAACATCTGCAACGCCGCGCGCCAATGATTCTGCTCTCCGAGACGCCTGACCTCGGCTCGGAGAGAACCAACGCTGAGATGAGATCGAAGTCCCGGCTGCGCCTTCCCAGACATGAGCTCCATTGCCCAGCCGCTCGACCGCAATAACATTATAATACGCCACCAGGGCCATTGGCATCGGCGGCCAAACGCAAGATGCTGCTGCGGGCGGGTTCTGTGAGTATGATCGACCCGCTGAAGAACGATTGAACCAAAATGGCTACAGGGCCTCCTGCTCCACCACCTCCACATCGCATCCTCCTGGTCCTTCCTCCATCACACCTCGTCTCCCCCATCCCATCCCTACCCCATCTCCACCTCCACCTCCACCTCCTGCTCCTCCTCCTCCTCCTCATCCTCTTCCTCCTCATCCGCCTTCCCCATCCTCCCATTTCCTCCATGCTTCCTTCTCCTGCTCCTCATGATATTCTCTCATCCCTTGCCTTCTCCGCTGCACAGTCCCTCCTCGCCGCTCCTCCCTCTTCTCCCGTCCCTCTTTCCCATCCCTCCCCCCCCCACCCCCTCGTTCCTGCCACTTCTATGTTATCCTCCTTCTCGTCCAACCTCCTCCTCCTCATCCTCCTCCTCCTCCTCCTCCTCCTCCTCCCGTCCCTCCTGCCGCTCCTCCTCGAACTCCCCTACCACACCAATCCCTCCTCCCTTCCCCCCCTCCCTCCCCCTCCCCTCCCCCGCCCCCTGCCACCTCCCTCTCCCCCCTCCCCCTGTACTCCTGCCCGCCCCCGCGCCTTTTCGGCGTGCTGGCGCTGGAAGCAGCCGCTGTCCAGCCGCAGGGCGGATTCAGGATGTAGGAGCGCCGGCACGGGGATGCCGACCCCCATCCGCCCCATCTCTACCCCGTCCCTCCCAGTCCCCTTCCCCGTCTCCCGCCCTCCGTGGCCGCCTGCTTCACGCAATGATCGACCTGACCTGACCCCAGTTCTACCCCGTCCCTCCCAGTCCCCTTCCCCGTCTCCCGCCCTCCGTGTCCGCCTGCATCACGCAATGATCGACCTGACCTGACCCCAGCTCCACCCCGTCCCTCCCAATCCCCTTTCCCCTCCTCCCGCCCTCCGTCTTCGCCTGCACCATGCGATGATGAGCCTGACCTGCCGAAGTGAGTACGTCTGTCTGGCCACCCCCCAAGGGCCAGTCGATGAGGTCCCTCGGGGTAGCAGAAAAAGAGCAGACCCCGTGAACCGATAGAGAGTCTAGGAGGGAAGTGATAGACAAGAACAGGAGGATTGGGATGACCTCCACAACCAACAGGGGAAGTGTCGAGTACACAGTGCAATGATTGCTTGTCGCGCCTGGGTGAAACCATGTGGGCAAGCAACTTGACCAAAATACGCACCCGTGCAGCACGTTACCGTGAGGCGCCACTCGCCAAACACGCGTGGAAGTCACCATTCCATACTATGAGTAAACGGCAACGCTACCCAACACATGAAGCAGCAGTATTATGTCAGCAGCAGGCTCGACCGAAGCCCAAAGATGTCATCGAACGTACCCGAAGAACTGCCTGAATCAAACGCTTCCCTCGAGTCCTGGCTTGTGCGCGATACTAAGATAACCGTCCAGTGCAGCATGCTCTGAGGTGCACTTAGAGAGAGAGAGAGAGAGCCATGGTCAGATTTCTTTCTGCGCACAGGTCCACATCCCGATCCAGCCCTTGCACTGCGGCCATCCCTGTCGCAGGGGGCAAGGGGGGATGAACAGCAGAGTTGCATCAGAGGGAAACGATTGACCTCAGCCCTCGCGATCAAGTCATGCCAAAGATATCCAGACACACGTGATCATTTGAACGAACCCTATGGGCGGCAAGTCTGGAATGGAATTGGTTCGCTAACGGGGGCCACCAGGTCGCACTTCCCTCTGAGATGAAGAAGAGAGCTAATGCAAAGGCAACGCTGTGTCTGGACAGCGGCAGTGACGCCTGCCTCCGAGAGATTCAACCACGATCGTCACTCGCCGACAATTAAGCCCTCCTGGTCCACACGAGCCATAGCTGTAGCTCCCCCCAGGGTGTCCCCGTCTGGCAGCCGAACAGACAACGGAATGCGGTCGAAACTGATGTAAGGATACGCGATAAGGATGCAAGCCCCTTGGACGCCCGTGTTGAAGCTTTTCCAAGCGCGCCCGACAGTGGAAGGTAGTCCAGAAAGGATCCAAGAATCACGGATGCAAGGGTACCCTTGGAAAGGTTAGCCCTCGGTTCCAGGATGTTGGTGCGAATTGGAAACCCTCTCTGGGTTACCAATGCTCGCACTTCGAGCTGCGCGCTGCGCGAAATGCGACCATCTTCTCGATCTCACGCCACCCCCTGGAGAAAGACAACTTGTCCGGCCCAGACGCGCGAAGCGCGGTCATCCTCGTGCCTCTGTGGTGGACCGATTTCTGCGGCCGAATCCTCCTCCTCCTCCTCCTCCTCCTCCTCCTCCTCCTCCTCCTACTCCCCTCCTCCTCCTCCTCCTCCTCCTCCTCCTCCTCCTCCTCATCCTCCTCCTGCTTCTCCTTCTCCTCCTACGCCCTCCCAATCTCCCTTCCCATCGGCTCAGAAGAGAACCTTCTCTCTCCCTCTCTCTCTCTCTCTCTCTCCCTCTGCATCTATTACATTCCATCACACGTCGTTCCTCCCTCTCCTCTCCCCTTCCCTCCCTGGCTCCACTGCCTCTCCCTCCCCGTGCCCATGGCCTCCTCCTCCTCCTCTCCTCGTCCTCATCCCTCTCCGCCACCTCCTCCATCTCCAGATCGGCTCAGAAGGGAACCCTGGGGCATGTGGGACCCCTCGGGCGCGGTTGCGCGCGCGCGGCCATGGGAGGGGGGGCGGTCAGGCCGCCCCCCGCCGCAGCCGACCAGCGGGAGGCGCCCTACCCCGGGAAGGTCTTCTTCGTCATGATATTGTAGAAGTCCTGCGCCGCCCGGGCGCGATTGACTGGAGGCCTCCCGGTGGGGGTCGGAGCAGATGGGGTCGGAAGACTGCGCCGCGTCGTCGATGCGTCGCAAGTGCGTCGGCGATGTCGGCGGCGACGTCGGCGCGGAGATCCGGCTACACACGGAGCCGCACTGCCGATGCACCCGCCTTTGCGACCCCTGCGACAGTCAAGTCGCACAATAAGGATGCGCGGCAAGGATGCAAGGGCCTTGGAAGGCTGTTTTGGCGTTTTCGAGCGGGGCTGGCCAGCGAGAGTGGCCAAAGATGGGCCGAAGGGGCAAGGATGCAAGGGTAGCGGTGGAAGATTGCTCCTCTTTGCTGTGCGACTGGACTGTACTCTGACCCTATCTGAGAGGCCTGGATGGACGAAGGATCATTTTTAACACACATACCCCCTGATGAGCAGCGTGCTCCTCGCGGGTCCGTGGGAAGATAGATCCACCGAAACTCCAGGCAGACAGCTTCAGATGCGATCTGGTTCGTATCCTCCGCCGCTCATGTGGCGCGGTTCTGCCAAAGGCAGGACGCGTGGGGGGGGATGAGGAGGCAGAGCACGAGGAGGAGGAGGAGGAGGAGGAGGTGCAGGGGAAGGAGGGGTACCCCAAGGGACTTCCAGGGAAGGAGCAGCAGGAGGACCAGCAGCAGAAATACCTGGGAAGAAGAGAGAAAGGAAGGGAGGCAGGGAGGGAGGGAGGAGGGGCAAGAAAGAATTCGTGGGGAAGATAAGGCCGAGAAAGAGCACAAAGGAACAAGGAGGACGAGGATGAGAGAAAGGCCGCGAGCCAAACACTGGGGCTTCAGAGCAAGCAGCCCCCGAAGGTCAGCTTGCACCAGAAGCCTGGAGCTCCTCCTCCTCGTCCTCGTCCTCCTGCTCCTCCTCCTCCTCCTCCTCCTCCTCCTCCTCCTCCTCCTCCTCCTCCCCCTCCTCCTCCTCCTCCTCCTCCTCCTCCTCCTCCTCCTCCTCCTCCTCCTCATGCACCTCCTACTTCGCCTCCTGTTCCTCCTCCTCCTCCTCCTCCTCCTCCTCCTCCTCGTCCTGCGCCTCCTAATTCGCCTTGTCCTCCTCCTCCTCCTCCTCCTCCTCCTCCTCCACCACCTCCACCTGATCCCCTCCCCTTCTCGGGGGACGGAGGAGAGAAGGGAGATGGAGTACGGGGAATAGGGTAGGGGAAGAAGAGCCAAGGGAGGGGAGAAGAGGGGGGAGGGCAGGGAAAACGCATGCGGCAAACGAGAAGCCGCGCCTTACCTTGAGATCACGGGCCTTCAATCAAGAAGACAAACTACCTCCCCCGAAAGCAGGGAACAAACAAAAGATGTACGCGCCAAACCCTGTACATGAATACGGCCCCCCGGTCCGCGAGACTACCCTCGCTTTACGAACGTTCGCGCAATGCGCACTCTCGAAACCAGCGTGGATTCCTGCACGTGTGCATTTTCTTTCGCTCCTGAAAGAGGGGCACCTGGAGTGGGACAGCAACTGGATGCAACTGCGCAGCCACAACACAGCACCATGCACAGAAACGCCTGGACGCCCGCGGACGGCTGCGGACGCAAGCGCGCGCCAGCGGCGGGGAGCCCAGCCCCGGCGGAAGCACGGCCCCTGGACGTCCACTGGCTCGCGCTTACCGTCGGACCTAGGACAGAGGAACATCCCTCAAGAGCATGAGACCCTCCGCCAGCCATAATACACAGAACATCCGAGGGTACCCCCCCCCCCCAAGGATGCACAATGACATCCAGCAAGCACGAAGAACCCTAGGGCACTCTTCCCGAACCGACCTCGACCTTATACCTCGGTCCGACTGCATGCGTCGGAGGGGCAAGCGGGATGAGACGGCATCGGCGCGCGCTCCGTTTTCTTGACCGAAACCCGACGCCACACTGGTGCATGCTGCCGCGCGTAGCAGCGCCATGGCCGCCGCCTCCCAAAGGCGACGCCCGGCAGAATGAGCCCCACGGCCGGAGAAACCAGATGATGACCGGTGCTTACCAGAGAACCAGAGGGTCACAAGTCCAGCAAACTTCTGGGTGCCCGCGCACGGCTTCTCCGCCGATGCTGGACCTCCTTCCCCGCCACCCTGTGGCGGCGCCTGAGGCAACCTTCGAGCGCCAGGGAGGTGTGGGAAGTGGGTCTGGCGCCGGCCAAGTAGCGGACCGCGAACTGTTGATGTCTGTATGTGGTTGCGTGAGTTTCTGGTTCTCTACTTCAGACTCCCTGGTCGGGAGATCGCCAGCGAGCGCGGCTCACAATAAAGAAGTGATGGAGTAAGGACGTAAGGGAATGGGTTGA